CTGAAACATGGCAACTAAACCCAAAGAATTCACAATGTTTTATTATAATAATGTTCTCATTAGAATGTTATATACACGACATTCCCAATCATAGTTATTAATGTTGTGCACTGCTGTTTGAGCTGCGTGTGCTGAGCTAAAGATGATCACCGGTAAACTGAAGCGCTCTTTTAACTTAACCAAACGCATTCTATATGAGATAAATCAGATATACATCAAATAAACACAATATTACAACGTACAATTGCACAAAAGGCTGCAAACGAACAGCGCGCATCTGAAGTGTCTCTGAAGGAAATAATGCATTATTTATCGGCTTTAAGATATCGGCCAAATTTTCTTATTGGGCCGATACCGATAACAGAAAAAATGACCATTTATCGGCCGATACCGATATGGTGGCCGATATATCGTGCATCCCTAATTATTGCACCCCTTTCCGCCCCCTGTCCAGCGGTGCGCTTTTGCTCCTCCATAAAAGCCTAATTTCACATGCAAATCAGTAAAATCATGTAACGTGACTTGCAAAATGGGACGTGCTTGATTTATCAAAGTTGATTAAATTTATTCATATTTTTAAAAGCACGAAAGAGCACTTGCGCTGTTCCTCAGGAGGCTTTTTGTGCATGCGCTCAGAGACGGAACAGAACACGGGCATGTAAAGTCAACTTTTAGTGTAAGGCGCGTGCCTAAACGGTCAAATACACGCAAAAATGTGTCAAAATGCGGTGCTTGGTGACACTTCGGTTATGTAATAAGTGAACTTAAACAGTTAAGAATGTAAATACGTGCATAACAGTAAATTGGATCCGTGCGGCACTTAAAATGACAGCAGGCTATATTCCTGCTGCTGACTGTGCTTTTTTAAAAAAAAGTTTTTAAAATTTTTATCAAACAACAAAAGACAGAGAGAAAATCACTCACTGCTCTTGACTGAAGGACTTTTGTAGCTTTAATAAGAAACAAAGGAAGTTTCATTCTTACAGTGAAGACTATGCTGTTTTGTTTAACATTTTATTTTACATTCAATTATTATAATTTCTGTTAATAGGCTGTTGAATAGTTTAGACTTGCATAAAAAAACTTAAACCTTTTTTTTTAATACTGACAGGTTAAATATTTTCAATAATTTGAGGACCTTTTATTTATTTATTTTTTTACTAATATTTGTTACCTAGTATTCTGCTGTGATATTGAGAATTGTAAAAATGTCTCTAAATGTCTCTAAAATGTAGATGTCATGGCAACATTATTTACAGAAAATATATAATAATATAATAATTCATTACATTTATATAGCGCTTTTCTAGGCACTCAAAGTGCTTTACATTGTCAGGGGGTATCTCCTCATCCACCACCAGTGTGCAGCATCCACCGGGACGGATATATTTGATATATATCGATATATTTAAATAAATCATTCATATAAATGTTTGGTAATGTGACCCACTCATAATCGTGTTTAATAATTGTGATAAAATTTTTTGCCACAATCGAGCAGCCCTAGAACAAAGCCAACATACATGGCCAACCCTCTACATTGTGAGTAAATCACTCGCATATGTGACTAAATCTTACTCTGGGCGACTAAATAATGTCTAACATTAGCCATTGGGTAATAAATTCGTAGATTTTACATGCCAGTATGTGTGTGAGAGGCGTTCAACACAGATTTTCACTCGATAAACACGCTGACTGAGCGCTTGAGAGTTTCGCTCTCCGTCAAGTGATCTGTACTATTTGGATGCGCTCAGTGGATCATGTCATGTACTCAATGGATGCGCAGTATGTAGCACGCAGCGCACCTGTATTTGACGTACCGTAAACTAGTGTGAAGGCGCACGACTCGCCGTCGCTTTACTGATAGTGCTGTGTTTCTCACACATGCAAAGAGAGAGAGCGAGAGTCTTGCATACCACGCTGAATCGAGGCGCTACATGTAAACAATACATTTGATACAAAACAAAACCTTTGTTGTATTTTCCTGTCAAAATAACAGAGTTCATTTAGAATTATTCTGCTTTTAAGAACAAGCAGAAGATATGCCAGTTTCTTGGCAGTGGGCGGAGCTAATGTGCGAACAGCTCTCGTTGGCTGGCGCTCATCTATTACCGTCCCTGTTTTGATTTCAGCAAATCAGTTCAAGCGAACGCTGCAACGTGATTAATATTCATGATAATGAAGCCAGCAGATTATTATAGTAGTAGTAGTAGTATCTTTTAATAATAATTACTATTACCTATGACCAACAATATCTTAAAGGGGTCATATGATGCGATTTCAATTTTTCCTTTCTCTTTGGAGTGTTACAAGCTCTTGGTGCATAAAGAAGATCTGTAAAGTTGCAAAGACTAAAGTCTCAAATACAAAGAGATATTCTTTATAAAAGTTAAGAGTCAACCACGCCTACCTAAAACGGCTCGTTCGAACACGCCCCCACATACCTACGTCGCTCTGTGGGAAGATTTGCATAACGTCGCCCAAATGTTCACGCAAAGAAAGAAGGCGTAACTTTTATTCTCACTGTAGTTTTGTTGT